TAAAGCTAGAGCTTACCATGATCTTTGGGAAGAAGGACATGACTGACCTCCAGGTTTCAGACGGTTCTGCTCTGGAATTTATCAACTGCTGTGTTTGTTTTCTTAACAGGTGAAAAATGCAGCTGCCAATGTACTCAGGGAAACGTGGCTAATTTACAAAAATACAAAGCTAGTAAAAAAGATAGATCATGCAAAAGTAAGAAAACATCAACGAAAATTTTTGCAAGCTATTCATCAGTAAGTACCAGCCTTCACTTTCAGCCCGCACTAGTGACTCTGGGTTTCAATGTTTTAAACTTGGTAACTCTTCTTTCATAAGGGATGGAAAAAACAAAACAGTGTCATGTTGGTTCCCAGAAGACAGCTGTTGGCATTTCCTAATTCCAAATATGATATCCTTAAACTGTCAGTTCGTCTAATGATTGTAAATCATTACTATTGGGAGAGTTGCGATGTAACATACATTGTCTCCTTACTTTGTGTTTTTAGATAGAAGAATTGGATTAAAAATTGTATTATATTTCCGCATTTAGTTTTATATAGTTCAAGATGTTTTGTTTGGGGTGGGGGGAGGGAGGACCCTCGTACTTCCCAGCCAGGATTTCAACGTTTTATCGCAAAGTCCTTCTTAAATATCAGCGCCCTCTTCTGGTCGGTCTAAGATTGATAGGCTGAAGCTCCACCTTGAATGAAGATAACGGCTTATGGTTGAGCTGAAGCTTGGGTTTCCAGGTATTCATTCACCAGCTTGTCTCACTTGCCTCAGAGAGGCAGGTATTCAGAGCTTCGCCAATTTTTATTTTTTTAAGAGTACTTTCAGCAGAAAATAGAGACTTTGCACATGGCCCTCCGCATCCACACATACAATATATACTCCCTCAGTCATGATGTCATGTAGCCACCACTGTAGTATCATACAGAATAATTTCATGGCCCTAAAAATCCCTTGTGCTCCATCTAGCATTCCTCCGTCCCTCTCCCCTGGAAACCATGATCTTTTCATTGTTTCTGTAGCTGTGTCTTTTCCACGTTCGAATCGTACAGTTTGTAGCCTTTTCAGACTGACTTCTTCCATTTAGTAATAAGCTTTTAAATGTCTTCTATGCCTTGATAGCTCATTTCTTTGTGGTTTTTTTTTGCACATATTTTTAAATTTACATATATGTACTA